CAGTCGGAGTGAGCTGTCTCCACTGCGACCCCTCGGTTGGAAGAAACACAAAAGCATTGCTCGCATTCAAAGCATATCTCTTCCCGGGAACCGCCCATTCCCAGCCGCGACTCTCCCGCTGATTTGGGTGAGGCCGAGGCTCAGGCTAGTTGCACCGGGTTTTGATGTGGAAAATAGTCTTCCTACTGGCCCTCGTCTCAGGTAGGCGTTGACCAGAGCTGGCGGCATTGTCCTTCTCAGACGATGTACCGCCGTTATGGACAATCTAGTTGTGCTAAAGACACGAATCAGGTTTCTCACCAAGAACCAAATCCCAGGATACGATTCTCACTCGATCATCATCCCCCGACTGTCAAATTTTGTCGGCCCAGAGGGTCAGGAGGAATTGCTTCTCTGCCCGGTTCGAGCACGGAGTTGCTACCAAAACTGTACTAGGGATTCAGGACGGGGTGCCAAGCACATGTCTTTGTGTTACGGCCCAGACAGGCAGAATAGGCCGGCCTCCCTGACTTCCATCACCAGGTGGATTACTGTGACTGTATTAGACGTCTATAATTCTTTAACTTCCTTGACACAGAGCTTGCAGAGACACCAAGTACGAGCGCATGAAGTCCGTGCGATTGCTAACTCACTAGTGCTAGCATCAGGTGCTCCCCTCGAACATTTTCTGAGGGCAGGCTTCTGGAAAACGCAAACGTCTTTATCAACTACTACCCTCTTTTAGATTTGGTCCAGTCGTAGCGGGTCAGACTTTGGTTGCTGACCCAGCCCAAATGACCACAAGGGTCCCTGCACATAGGCGATAAGTCAGTCTCAGCATTTTTGCAGACAGATTTCTCTACCATCAGCACCCCCTGGAAACTTCTAGGTCTCGCTTTTCGACCTATGCCCTCATGCAGAACTGTTTCGGTCTTTACTTCAAAAGCATACTACCCCCTAAATTGGGTTTTGGGTCTAGCTTTCTCGGGCACACCGAACCCAGTCTCCGTAGCAGCATTTTTTGCTTATTGCTCCGGGGACAGCACAGGCAAGGTAAGACACATCCCTCTTTTTGGTCTCAACTAGGTGATGAGTGATTGTTGTAGAGTGTATCATCCCGGACTGGGAAAAGACTTTCATAATTTTCTGTTTGCTCGGAAAACCCGCCACCTACATGTATCTGTGCTGACTCTGCCTACAGTTCAAAATAGTCATTTTGACTGACCGGAGTACCCACCATAGACTCCGCCCCCCCAACCACCCCACTCTTTTCGTAGCATTGGGGAGAGAAAAGAACCAGAAGTGATTATCCAGCTGTAATGGTGCCGCCATATGGCCTTGGCCACGTGGTAGAATCTTGGGGTCATGGGGCTTCCCCTGCCCTAGATTCTATCTCTCTATCATTGGCAAAATCGCTGATTAATGCCTACAGTTCAAAATAGTCATTTTGAAAGACCGGGGTCTATGGTGGGTATGAACTATGTGAATAGGCGGGTTCAGAGAACCCTCTGCCTAAGTTACGGACATCGAGTTATGGACATCAAGTTACGAAAACATTGAGTTACAAAATTACCACGCTCATATTTCAGAAACCACGACCACTTCTTTGAAACCACGCCCAAATTGTAACTCGATGTTCAATTAACAGTTAACCGTACTTCAAGTTACGGGCAACATAGCATTTTTGTTTTGTTTAACGTTGTATATTTCCAGTAATTCAAAGTTCATTAAAATGATAATTAAAATTTGAGTTACTAAATTTGAATGTTTAGTAAAATAAAAGAGCTAACAGTTAACTGTTATTTAATGTTTGAGTTACTAAATGTAACTGAAATTCTATGTTGCTCGTAACTCAAAGTTCTGTTAATTGTTAGTTGGACACCGACGTTCAAATTTGGGTGTGGTTTTGCAAAAGTAGGCATGGTTTATGATATATGGGCGTGGATATTTTTGTAACTCAATGTTTTTGTATCTCGATGTTCGTAACTCTATGTTCTAACTCAAACATTTCAGCATCTCATGATCAACGCATTCCATGTTGTTTAATGCTTTTTGTTTCACTGGGAAAGGAGTCGCAAAATTGCAAGAGGGATGTAATTGTCAGCCATAATACAAGTGAGGTTGCAAATATTTGTCCTTATCAATCTGTGTATTAGGTTTCTGTTGCTGGCATAGCTCAAATCACATTTTCAAGTTTGATGGTTCTGCTCCTCGATGCAGTATTCACCATTGCTGATTATGTAGCATTCAAAATTTTTGGGACCCCTGCAACAATACAATACATACAATTCGTTGCCATTATGTTCTATCAATGCAAAAACGATGCTTGGAATGCAAAAAATTAAAAATTGAACTAAAATACCGCATATATTAATTTGTTCATACATTCTAATGCCTGATGGTTTGCTTTTGCATGTTAGATATAGTTTTTTTTTTCTAAATATGGTATTGCATTTTCAAAATATACATGTAGGCTGTTTTTTTCCATATGGTCTGTAATGAAATTGTTCATTATGATACGTGTATTATTTATTGTACTGATGCATTGCCTGTTACTTGCCATATCAAAAAAAATTTTTTGAAACTAACACGGTTATGGCAAAAACATTGTAGGAACACTAATTAGCCTAATAACCATGGCAACTAGTTAATATCTCATCATACAGAACATCATCAACTTTGTTTTGAGGAAGAAACTCAACAAAAACAGCAGAGCTATTTTGACTATTAGTTTGCTTGTTTTTCATGTAAATATTTTTTTTTCTTTGTTGAATATTCTACATGATTTTGAGTAATCAATACTTTCCCTCCATTTCCAAATGATTTGTTTTTTTTGCAAGCATTGTTGAGTGACATGTAATTTTTTAGCCCTTTTGTCTAAACTATAAAAACAAATGATATCCTCAACTGATTGTTTGAAGTTCATGTGCATGAATTTTGAACCGGAACGACGTTTACTCTGATAGTATTAATTCAACATTATATATTCAGTCCAAATGACTAGTAATTTGAAATGGCTTACTGGCAGCCATTTTGTTTTACATTTTTCCTATAGACATTATGAACACATGTTAAGTTGTATGGCAGTCAAGGATTGTTCATTTCACAGTGTACTGGTAGAACTGCACCATGCATGCACTTGTACAAAATAAAGCATATAAATGCTGTCAGTTCAATTGTCATATCAGTACAAGAAACAAGGATATTGTGTCATTCTCAATGGCTTGTTTTTCTAAAATCTAAAACAAAGACCTTTCGTTTCATTAAATAATCCAAACATAGGCATCGGTGATGTGAATCTGTACATACTTAGTTTCCTAGTTACCGTCTTTCAATGAACCATTAGTCTTCTATGTAGTCATTTCAGAGCTCCTTAAGCAAGTGAATCACTTTCAAAGATTCCATAGATTTTTTCTCACACAAAAACAGACATATATATATATATATATTAAATATTTTCTTGTTTTGTCCTCGTAGATTGTAATCAGTATCGTTCTAACATGGTATGTTGTGAAACGAGCTAGAAAAGAACTGAACCAGACAGTCAAGGCATACGAGGATGAAATGGAGGAACGTGAACGAACTATTTTAGCTATGCCGAGGAACCTGGAAGAAGCAGAGTCAATGGACTCCCTGAACTTATTGAGTCCCACCATATCATCTGCCAATGGTAAAATAAAAAATAAGTTTTTATCCAGACATCAGCGATCTCAGTCAGCGACAGTTCCTTTATTATCGTATATAGATGAAGAAAACCATGATGACAGAAGTAAACTCTGACGTCCCTGGTGAAACATTTTTTAAGTAATAGGAGAGATGTATGGTACATAACAAGATATTATTAACTGTTTAATTTGCACGGATACAACGTACAACAAATGCGGCTCATCTGTTGTGTTTAATATGGCTTCAAGTTCATACAAAACTGAATGTGCTCTGCGATTTTAGCATTTTAACAAGGTATTCACATGAATACAAAAGATGTATTGCACACACATTTGCTCTGAAATAATTCACAAATTGGATTCGAAAATCGCAATAGCTGTGGTTGATGTTGTGGGTTCAAACCCCTTCCTTGACTAAATTTTTCAATGGTTGAAAAAGAACTCGGGACATTTCACCTTGAATAGAGCTGTACAGTCTTGTATACCCAGATGTAAAATCTAATTTACAGGTGTTGGATATCTTACAGTTATGTACAGTTATCTATATCAGTTACACTTAGCATACAAATAGAAGTGTGGTTTGTTTACAATTAGCATAAACACAATAAGACGTGGATTTGCAGGAATAAACACGCAAACAGAATTGGTTACATGGCCGAAATTGGTGTAAGTGGCCATATACAATGGACTCGCTGTCCTAAATGTAATCTACAGTTTGTATTACAGTGTTGTCATATAACCGTATGTGTGTTATTACAAACGCATACACAAATTTGCACAAAATACCTTGTAAAAAGTAAATGAATCGGTGTTAGGTTAGTGTACTTTAAAGCAGGGGAGTTGTCATCTGCGCATGCATCAGATGGCTATAGCATGTCGTTGTTTACAAAGAAGCATCTACCCATGAGCCTTTGCAATTTTAGCGTGTCTTGTTATGACTCAATTCCTACATGTGTGCAGGTGATGACCTTTCCGCTACAAGTTCAATCCAAAGTCTATGCATCTAATGGAGCAAATATGAAAGCCGTTAAATCAGGATCACGTTTAGTACATCATCGTAAGTATGTGTGATGAATGGCAAGGTTTCATCATAGTAGGTACCTGTACGTATAATGTATGAATAATGGTGGTACATCATTGTAATTATGTATAATGAATGGTGTGGTATTTAAAATATGTATGGTAAATAGTGTGGTACAGACATGGTACGTCAAAAATAAAACATTTTGCAGCAATGAACATTCACTTAAGACAGTGTGTGTGCGTCCTTGTCAAGTCACAGTAAATTTCATAAAATTGATTCCTAGCGAGTGCCTTTTAAGTGAGAATGCGTGTCTGCAAATGAAATAGGTGCATTATTTAATATGGACTTTGTTGATTTTAAATTTTTTTTTTTTAATTTGTGACCTCGAACTTGGTTCAATGATAATTAATATTTTGTTTTATTTACATGTATGAGCTTTATATCAAATATCTTGTACCTATCAAGAAATTCCAGCCACTGTAATTCTCTCCATCTATGCCTAGGTACGATGCTTATAATATCTCATTACCCTTTCAGATTTATGCAGATATCGTGCAATATATATGCCATGATCATGAGTGGTTTGTATAGGCTACTTTGTTGGTGACCATACATTAGAATAAGTATTTACATCACTGGTATTACTAACATGTGTCCAATATTTATACTAGCCCAAGCTTTTGTCTTTTGGCTGAAGCTGTCAACTTTTTAGCTCCGCTGTCGACTTTGTCGAGCGGAGCTTATCATATGAGTGATTGTCGTTAGCGTTCGTCGTATGTGTCAACTTTTTACTTTTTTGACTTCTTCTTGCTTTGATAATAGGTGTTGGGCAGACCTCTCTTAGATTTGTTCATTTTGTGATGATATTTTTAATTCCCTTATTTTGATGAATATTTTTGTCATTTTTAGTAAAAAGTGATATTTTCCACGACTTGCTTTGATAGACCACTCTCAGATTTGTTCATTTTCTAATGATATTTTCAGCTCTTTATTTGGAACATGCGTTGGCAACAGTGGAGCTATCTCTGCCAAGAGCCTGCTTGTTTCCTGTATATCATGATTCATGTTTCATGAATTTTATGGAAAGAAACATTAGCAAAAATTGAGATATTGCCAGTGCCTTAAGACTTGTATAGATTAAATGTTGAAAAAAAATATGGTTTAAAGAAGTTTGAACATGTTCAGAAAGAATGTACTTGTTTAATTATTTCTAAGAGACCACATATATGTAATTGATTGAATCCCTTGTGCTGCTTTTCACCTATATTAAGAATCTGTTCATTACATTGATACCCTACTTACCAATTCCATCCACTTGATATCATCTATTTCATGTTTTTTTTACAGGTTAGGGTCATACGGATATGTTATGGCTTGGTTGTAGATTACAATATTGTATTTTGTTAACTTTGTCAGAATATGACCTAATACAATAATATTTTTCTGAATGTTCTCCATTGAAATCTTGCCAAATCACAGCTATCAACCTTCCAATCACAAATATCATCCTGCCAATCTAACCAGACGCTTTCATATTTATCCATACTGACTCACAGGGAATTTGTCTTCCAAAAATAATATGCCATTTTTTCAATGGTAGTTTTTAATCATTTTAAAAGTTTGTCAATTTATTAACTATTTTTTTTTCACCAGCACCTTTTAACAGTGTAATATCAATCAAACATATCCAGCCACTCTTTAAGTAAATAATGTTTGTCATTAAATAGTGTGATGTCTGTGCCTTCATATTTTGTTTTAAATTATCCTGTATTTTTTGTTTTGAAAAAAAAAATTGACTGATGAAGCTTTAAATGTATTTTTAACTTGTATATAAATATGTATAGTTGGTATACATTTATTTGTTCTTTATTAAAACTTGTCTAAAAGAAAGTTGACAATTTATTATTTCCTTGTATATATGTATTAGTATCTGTTGGTGATAATAAATTGTTTAAAGTCTCTGTTGGTTATGAAACTACACACTTTGTAATTAGCATTTTTCTAGTGCAGTAACCTGATGAACAAGGCAGACCAAGTGCCCCAAGCATTGTACAAGTCTATAGTATAAACTGACATACGATTGCATGAGCACCATCATTGAGTAATTCTGAGATATGCAAACATATTTTGACATGGGCTGATCACATTCGAACCATAGGAAATTATTACAAGTACTTCATTTATTGGTCAGTTTGGCTCATTAGCTATGCAAATATATTCAAATATCACATACTGTGGGTTGATCATATCTGGATCATGGGAAATGAACTAACCTCTACTCTCATTGGTCAGTTTGCAAACACATTCTATGAACTTTCAGTTCTGAATCAGAAAATAAAAGGTAGCATAACCATAACAGCCTATATGGTGGACAAATGCTTACTGCATTTTCAATCAACCAATCAATTTGTGATAGTTGCTAGCTCTGATTGCATTCATTCGACAAGTCATTCCTGGACTTAAAATTCATGGTACTCCAAAGTAGTAAACACAAGAAAAAAATTATTCAGTCATCGCTTGTAAATTAACAACACATGTTCATAATGTATAAAAGTATGCTCTCATTTTATGTTCAATTACCGTAATTTACGCCAACCCTGATTGAGCACACGTCTTGCAGGTGCATCCAATCAAATTTATATTTACCAAGGTCGAGTACACAGTCTCGCACACTAGTTGCGTTCACATTATGGGATCTCAACATGTGCCAAATATTTTTAATCCTTTATGTTTGCAGGTGGATTACAGCAGTTGTGTTCACATTAATCTGGGCACATGCTAAAATTGTGTCCTTGTATACTGTTTTTTGTTGAGCTGTCAACGAGAAAAACAATGTCATCTTCTTTCCATGTACTTGTCAGTGCTTTTACTTTGGCATCAAGCCATATTTTTCTAGACAAGCTGTCTGAAAACTTGCCATGTCATATGAATCACTATGTTCTCTAAGGTTAGACGCTGAGGGCGTGATTTGAATTCAGGCAGCCAATCTGCACATGTAGAGTTTTCATCCCGTCTCTCTATTAGGACCAACATCAAGTATTTTTCAGCACATGCTGACTTGGTCGAGGTCATTCACAATGCCAGAAACCTTGGAAAGAAACTACAAACAGGAAAAAATAATATTTAAAAAATATAAACTATTTTTTAATTAATCTTTGCAACCTTATACAACAGAAATTAATATTCAATAACCCCTCAATGATAAATATATACATCGTTGAAAAATAAGTCTTCTAAAACCATAATGCTAAAATAGTGCATATTATTTAGCATTAAGATCAAGATGTAGTTGGAAATAAACAATTTGAAATTACAATAACGTAGTACAATTTCTCTCATTGTAAGTACGGTAGTTTCAAGATGGCGACATGAAAAATAAACGTACACGTTTCTTTTTATATTTTTCGAAGATTTTGAACAAGACTTGTTTTCAATGAAAAATTAAATTAGTTAAATACATAATAAAAGTTGCTCTAAAATTTTGGTGGGATAAAATATTTGTTTAAAGACAATGGTTAGATGAAAAGTATTGTTAGAGAAGCTAAATTTCAGCCAAGTAAACAATCAAAACCATGAAAACTATTCACAAACTGAATATGATGTGCAGCAGCAACACGCCATGAGTGATAGATAACAGCAAGTTTGAATGAAATTAGACATGGCACACCAGAGAAATAGTTGATATGTTGAAATAAATATGCATATGAATATCATTATGACTTTATACCTACTTTAAACAAAATTGGTCAAAGGAACATCCAAGACCCGAAATGGTGGTCATCGCACTGTGCATGTGCAAAAGTTTTGTTGATAAACATACATTTTCCCACAATCCAATCTGCTCTTCTAATGAAAATCATAAGTATGAGGTTCAATCTGGGTGCAATTTGTGCTAGCTACTGCCAGTGACTCCTTCGATACCTTCCAATCGCATACAAAAATACCTAATTATGGCTTGGCAACGTCTAAGATTGTACTTAGACTGCGCAACAGTCAAAGTCGCCATCTTTGTTTATATGAGATCTATATATCTCATGCATGCGTGGCACAACGACTATAGTCCTTTAATTGCTAACCATGAAAACTTACAGAGCAGATTAATTCAAAGCTATTATAAGGACAATCCTAATGACAGATTTTTCTGGTCTAATTGATATTATGAATCACTTTCTTTTAGTATTGGTAAGATACAGAAACAAGCAGCCTCTAGTCTGAGATAGCTCCGCTGTTAGCAATGCACATTTCAATTAAAGAACAGAAGATATGATTACAAAATGAACAATATGTAGACTTGCTGTTTTTAACAAGAATTCAAAAATATCGCTTTTTACAAAAAATGACAGAAATAATCATCAAAATTAGATAATTGAAGATATCACCACCAAATTAACAAATCTGAGAGAGGTCCACATGTAGTACCTATATATGTAATTTAAAAGCAATCAGACTTGCGGTTTTTAACAAGAAGTCGAAAATATCACTTTTTACCAAAAATTACAAAAATATTCACCAAAATTAGAGAACTAAAGATACATGTATCATTACAAAATGAACAAATCTGAGAGAGGTCCAAATGTAGTACATATATATGTAATATCAAAGCAATTGGACTTGTGGTTTTTAACTAGAACAAAAATGACAAAAGTATTCCTCAAAGTTAGAGAATTGAAGATATTATCATGAAATGAACAAATTTAAGTGAGGTTTACCCAAGGTACATATACACAAAGTATCAAAGCATTCAGGCTTATAGTTTTCAAGAAGAAGTCGTAAAAGTAAAATATTGACACAAACAATGACGGACAATCACTCACATGATAAGCTCCGCTCGACAAACTCGATAGCGGAGCTAAAAAAGATTATTGAATAACTAAGTATGTAGTGCACAAAAGTAGACAATATGTACAAAATTCAGTTTTGTAGACATATTAGAATAAGCAGCCTGTTGGCTGAGATAGCTCCGCTGTTAGCAATGCACATTTCAACAAATCATTGAAAAAAGTCCCAGTTAAATTTTTGAAAGTTCTTTTTGTGCTCGTCATATTCAAGCAGAGGGATTGTCGCGAGCGTGTCCTTGAAACTTGAGTTCCAAGTGGCGTATACAACACATTGTTTATTTACATCAAAACACGTGTTCCGTGTAGTAGTAATATGGCCAAAAATAAAAACAGCCATTATTCGGCCATCTTTGATCTGATTATGAAACACACTGATATGTATGATGTATGTGCCAAATGCAAATGAAAATGGTACATAAATTGTGGAAATATAGTAGTAAGGCCAAAAAGTCAGATGGCTGTCAATCGGCCATCCTTGACCAGATTTTGAAACAAATTGTCATGGACATGCATCCTAACATGTATAAAGTACATGTATGTTCCAAATTTGAATGAAAACTGACAGAGCATGTCCAAGATACCGCATACAAAAACAACAACAAGATGCCTGCCAGTCAACCATCTTTGATCCAATTGCGAAATAAATCATCGTGGACATGTATCCTAACATGTATAATCTATGTACCAAGTTTGAATGACAATTGACAAAGCATTTTCAAAAAACAAGATGGCTGCCAGTCGGCCATTTCGAATCGAATCGCTAAACCACTGCATGTGCATATGTCCCACATAAGGTAATAGGCACATGCAAAGAATGAATGGAATTGGTCAACAGGATTCTGAAATATGGCTCTGGACAGACTGACGCACAGACGGACAGACTCAGGAACTCACGGACGGTCGGGGACAGGTATCCTAACATGTATGATCTATGTATTAAATTTGAATGAAAACTGACAAAGCATGTCCAAAATAAGACATTTTCAATAAACAAGATGGCTGCCAGTCAGCCATCTTTGATCCAATTGTGAAATAAATCATCATGGACATGTATCCTAACTTGTATAATCTATGTACCAAGTTTGAACGAAAACTGACAAAGCATGACCAAAATATAACATTTTCAAAAAACAAGATGGCTGCCAGTCGGCCATTTTGAATTGAATCGCTAAACCACTAAATGTGCATATGTCCCACATAAAGTATTAGGCACATGCAAAAAATGAACGGAATCAGTCCAAGGGATTCTGAGATATGAATTATAAGTCCCCAGTTATAAGTTCAAACGGGAACTAATTAAAGAACAGAAGATATCATTAGAAAATGAACAATATGTAGAATTGGCTGTTTTCAACAAGAATTCAAAAGTATCACTTTTCACCAAAAATAATCATCAAAATTAGATAATTGAAGATATCACCACGAAAGTAACAAATCTGAGAGAGGTCCACATGTAGTACCTATATATGTAATATCAAAGCAATTGGACTAGCGGTTTTTAACAAGAAGTCGAAAATATCGCTTTTTACCAAAAATATTCACCAAAATTAGAGAATTAAAGATATCATTACAAAATGAACAAATCTGAGAGAGGTCTACCCAAGGTACAAAGACATCAAGTATCAAAGCATTCAGACTTATAGTTTTCAAGAAGAAGTCAAAAAAGTAAAACATTGACACGGACGACGACAGACAATCACTCATATGATAAGCTCCACTCGACAAAGTCGACAACAGAGCTAAAAAGCTGATAACAGTTACATGTAATTAGTATGCAAATTTGCTAATAACTGTGAACTATTATAAACTATTATCATTCGTTGATTTATCCACAAGAACAGCATGTATGGAAATGTTAATTAGTATGTAAATTAGCTAATTAATATGCATAGAATGGTATAAACTTATTACTTAGTTGTCTATACAAGCAGCAAGAATGAATTTACAAAGTTTCAAAAGATATACAAAGAAGATACTCAAACCAATTAATTATGCCTTTTTTTGTTTATTCTACTAAAAACCAGTGATAGTCTGATATCCAGAATCATTGAAAGTTTGTTTTTGGATCAAAGCTGTATGGCTATGTTGACCTGTAGTACTGTAAAATCTGTATTAGAAGCAGTGACTTCTATTAAAATGGTACAATGCAACAGATAGAATGTGGCTTCTATTAAAGCATCTAGACATATAAGAAACAATCAATTTTTAGTTCTCAATTGCTCAAAAAGAATGGGTGTGACTTCTATTAGGGATGCAGCTTCTAATACAGATTTTACGGTACTGGTACATAAATTTAGTGGAATATTGCACATTACTTAAATTGAAAATGCAAAATACACATAGTCTTCTCGCAGTTATCATTAGATCTGCATAGGAAGTACCGGTATATACAATAAACACACCAGATAATAATTGCTGAATTCAATCAGAGATTTCTTGCAAATAATTTTGTCATAATAGCATAGGTGCAATGTTCAGTAATGTGCAGTGAACAGACTGCATGCTATATCCAGACAAGCAAGCCTATGCCATTACTTTAGAAAAACATAAGCATTGCATCGATCATTGATTAATTCCCTGATCTAAATCAATGGTAACAGAGACTCCTGGATCAATCAAGAGTGTCTAAGTAATGGAACAATTCAGCAACATGTATATAGATAGAAATCTTACTGCCACAAATATGTGAACGATATGACAAAGATTCAGATCATGGTGGTGTTTATTGTTACAATCACAAACTACAAAACTATAAAATATAGACCAGAATTCAAATTGACTGAGAAAATTGTACAATATCTCCCATCAACTGACTTTTTAAGACTATAATCAATATTATGATAGGAAGGTGGCCATACAGTCCCATCATAATGCAATTTCGTGGAAAAGTGCACTATACATTTGTATGTACCATAAAAAAAATGTCAGTGACTTTTAATGTTAAAAGCAGCCACCTTGCATAAAACAATAAAATCTTACATACTCATTGATAAATAACTTTATTGCAGGATAAACAAAGGAACATTCCATTGGTTGGTTTTTGACATGAATAACCATACATGGTTATTCATATGTGCCAGGATCCTGTACATGAAACTACATTTTGCAATAAAACAAATTAAAAATTGAATAAAATGTATACACAAGGCAATCAGTCTCTCAATGCCACAGTACAAATCCCAGGGAGTGATAGATTGTCCTTAGAATGACACATGATGAGTCTGAATTCTGAAAGGATAATGACAAGAGTTTTTGTAAAGTCCAATTGTAAGTTGCTTGGATACCCAACTACTATTTTAGTTACCTACTGGTGTCTGCAAAGGCTGCTAATGCCTCCATGGTCAGTGGATGCCTGTGACAAAGATTGGCTGATAAAAATAATACATTACAAATCTGAATATGCAAATTTTTAAAAAAATGGAAGACAGTAAAACATTTTCCCCATTTTTTTTCAGGACAAAATAAATTTACATGGTTACTTAACAAAACTATTAGCATCCATTAATGTTAATGGAGAGAGGGTAACAAGTGGAATGGTTGTGTTGATGGAATGTCAGGAATCAAGGCTCCATTCTGGGATCAATATACAGTTACTAGTTCTACATAAGTACAATTTAAAAAATAATGAGAAGCTATAACAAATCCCATGTAATGTACCTCTGTATCCTTATATTATTACTCAATATCATGCTGACGTCAGTGTACTTTTTTGTTATACAATAATATAGTTAGATGAAGAATCTGCATGGTCCAAGATGGTCGTCTAAGCACAACATACCATTTTGATTTGTTAGAAGTGAATTTTCAATACAAAGATACATAAACCAAAAATTACACTTACTGTACATTGGATCATTAAAATATGACATGACCCTATACACCTCTCTGTCATTTACATAAGTGCAAGCATGCATGCACTCCTCTGGGAGCAAATACAGTAGTTATCAAATATTCATTATTTGTAACCAAGGCAAAGAACGGTAGACATAAAAAATGTGCCATTTAGCACATAGTACATTTAGTGGACATTTAATTCCCTCAAAGATATGGGAAAATATTCAAATATATTATTATTATAGTTTAATCAGTATTTACTGAATCAGTCAGCAAATACTGTCTACAGATGCTACTTATAACTTCTTTTGTCTTTACAAAAGCTGAGCGCAGGAGAAATATTTAGGAAGAACAAAGCATTTTAGTGAGAGGAATGAATAACTCAGGTTAGAGAGACTTGTTGAGTTTCAGTCATGCCGGTTTCTTTCCTCTGTAATGCCATACTTGCCACAGTATTGCAATGTCAATAGATACTTGAAGAGCCCCACATATTGTGAATTGGATTGGTGCATTTTTCACAAGAAAATAACCCGTTTTAAAAGTGTCTCCTGACAACCAAAATAACACCATTTTAACACTGAAAAAAAAGAAAGAAATATTTTAAAATAGTGGGCAAGGACCGAGACACATATCATTTCAGAAACTGATCTACATGAATGCACACATATACTGAGTCAGCATTTGGAAATTGCGATTTGCAAACATTTGTTGAAAATTAAGTGGCTTTTACAAGATCTTTGAACAAGCATATTAAGCATGTTAAGATGTTATAACAAATGAACAGAACTTGAGATAATTGATAACAGAATTGAAGAGTTTACTAAATACAACAAAAATTACACACTGTTAAATGAGCAGCTTTATTTTTTTTACAATGTCACACAAATACAGTTCTTGTTCTTTGGCTTTTCACACTCTGAACACTTTTAGATATGCTTACATATGTTAATGAAATATTATAACAACAAACTATGGTTCAAGAGCTGTTATTTATTTGCCTTACAATAGTTCTATGAAGTGATTGCTATATTTTTTAAGTCCAATATTGTATTCAAAACGATTACTATCTTAGTGATGGATTAGTTACTATGGTCTTTATATTTCAAAATTACATGTGTAATACATATATATATATATATATATATATATATATATATATATATATATATATTTCTGTACACAATATTTGATTTTTTATCTCTTTTTCAGAAAATCAAGATAAGGAAATAAAACACGAAATTAATTATTTTTATCATTAAAAAAAAATTACAAACCTCATGCCTATGGTTGATCTATTTTGTAAATTTTTATAAAACTGTGGAGCTCCCAACATAGCTTCTGTAAACACTGCCATGAATCCTAAAGTCTCTATGTACAAAGGGAAGTCCATAAGCAGTATTGTAATAGCACCACAAAAGAACGAAAACAGAGCCACAAATTGCACATAATCAGAGAAATGGTTCCACTTCCAAAACTGCCTTGTATCAAAGTCTGGAAAAGAGAAATGCATTAAGTATATCTTTAAAAAAGTATATGAGCAATTATTGGTTAAATAATTGATTAATATTAATTATTAATTTCAGCATGTTGTAAATTATTCTGTAAATGAATTAGTTTGTTTCAAAGATGCGTTTTAAAAGCTACGAACAAAACAATGTACACATTACAAATGTGACATGAATGAAAGAATGTAATTTTTAATACTGCTGATGGATGCTGTATGCTGATGAATACATTGGATTATGATTTATTATGAACTTTAAATGTTACATTGCCACATACAGATGAGTATTCAATGACACGCATGTTTAAGCACATTTGGTTTGTATAATAACAATCACTGCACATACATAACAGTGTTATTCATTTTTTACAACAAGTGAATACATACACAGTGCTGCAAAAGCTACATTTGTTTTAGCCCATAGTGCATCTTTAATTAAAGCATTAAAGAGATTAAGAGATTCCTGCTAGATGTACATGTATATACCAGTGTACAGTTTACATGTCATGAAAAACACATATGCCATTTTGTATGTATTGTGTTGGAGGATTATTTTTAAGGTTTGCTTGAAATCTGAAGTAAGTAGAAGATCACTTGTTCCCACTTATATCTTTCCAAAGTTGCACTCTGTGAACATTCACAGAGTTTTCTTAGGGTCTTGGGACTATTATTTCAATGATCTAAACATGCAAGTATTGCCTAAAAAATATAAGCATTTGTCACAATTGCCTTGTTTATTACTTTGGCCTGCAGTAATTCAATAGAGAACACAACACCAGACAGCCACATGTATACAATGTATTTCACTAGATTATTACAGATAGTCATGGGAAACCATATAGTCATTCACCAAGACATGTTTGTTTGAAAATCATTGATATCATTTATGAATTACATGCATGTCTCTTCCAACTTAGATTTCGTGAAAATATTTACATTTCAAAGACAGGAACAGTCTCATGTAAAACTTTAACAGGGGTGTAGTCCTGATAATAAAGAATTTACTTCTGTCATCAAAAGTTCTTTTATGCCATGATACAGAATTAAAATGATCACTAAGGTCAAAAAAACATTAGAACTACCTGTTGAACAATTAGAGCGCTCTCATGCACAGTATTCTGAGATGACCTTGTTTTAAATTTTTCAGTCATACACGTGAAACAGATTCCTTTCAATTTGACTGAATTAAGCAATCAGCTAAAGATATATACATGTATTTAAAATGTATTTAGTTTATTTTTTTTAAATCTGTATCTTGATTCAGTGAAGAATTATTACGAGTCCAAAGGTGGCTGAAAATTAATTTCAGTAAAACTTTTAGTGACTGTACAATTACCCTTCCTATACATAGAGACTGTCCAATTACCCTGCCATTACATAGTGTCTGTCCAATTACCCTGCCCATACATAGTGACTGTCCAATTACCCTGTTGATACAGTGACTGTCCAATTACCCTGCCCTTAGACAGTGACTGTCCAATTATCCTGCTCATACACAGCGACTGTCCAATTACCCTGCCCATAGACAGTGACTGTCCAATTACCCTGCCCATAGACAGTGATTGTCCAATTACCCTGTCCATACACAGTGACTGTCCAATTACCCGGCCCATACACAGTGACTGACCTATTACCCTGCCCATACATAGTGACTGACCAATTACCCTCCTCATACACAGTGACTGTCCAATTACCCTGCCCAAACATAGTGACTGTCCAATTACCCTGCCCATACACAGTGACTGACCTATTACCCTGCCCATACATAGTGACTGACCAATTACCCTCCTCATACACAGTGACTGTCCAATTACCCTGCCCAAACATAGTGACTGTCCAATTACCCTGCCCATACACAGTGACTGACCAATTACCCTGCCCATACACAGTGACTGTCCAATTACCCTGCCCATTCACAGTGATTGTCCAATTACCCTGCCCTTAGACAGTGACTGTCCAATTATCCTGCTCATACACAGCGACTGTCCAATTACCCTGCCCATAGACAGTGACTGTCCAATTACCCTGCCCATAGACAGTGATTGTCCAATTACCCTGTCCATACACAGTGACTGTCCAATTACCCTGCCCAAACATAGTCGCTGTCCAATTACCCTGTCCATAAACAATGACTGTCCAATTACCTTGCCCATAGACAGTGATTGTCCAATTATCCTGCTCATACACAGTGACTGTCCAATTACCCTGCCCAAACATAATCGCTGTCCAATTACCCTGTCCATAAACAGTGACTGTCCAATTACCCTGCCCATAACAGTGATTGTCCAATTATCCTGCCCATACATAGTGACTGTCCAATTACCCTGTCCATACACAGTGACTGTCCAATTACCCTGCCCAAACATAGTCGCTGTCCAATTACCCTGTCCATACACAGTGACTGTCCAATTACCCTGCCCATAGACAGTGATTGTCCAATTATCCTGCTCATACACAGTGACTGTCCAATTACCCTGCCCATACATACTGACTGTCAAATTACCCTGTTGATACAGTGACTGTCCAATTACCCTGCCCATACAGTGACTGTCCAATTACCCTGCCCATAGACAGTGATTGTCCAATTATCCTGCCCATACACAGTGACTGTCCAAATACCCTGCCCATACACAGTGACTGACCAAATACCCTGTTGATACAGTGACTGTCCAATTACCCTGCCCATACAGTGACTGTCCAATTACCCTGTCTATACACAGTGACTGTCCAAATACCCTGCCCATACACAGTGACTGTCCAAATACCCTGCCCATACACAGTGACTGACCAAATACCCTGTCTATACAGTGACTGTCCAAATACCCTGCCCATACACAGTGACTGACCAATTACCCTGTCCAAACATAGTGACTATTCAATTACCCTGCTCATACACAGTGACTATTCAATTACCCTGTCCATACACAGTGAATGTCCAATTACCCTGCCCATACATAGTGAATGTCCAATTACCCTGCCCATACACAGTAACTGTCCAATTGCCCTGCCCATACACAGTGACCTTCCAATTACCCTGCCCATACACAGTGACTGTCCAAATACCCTGTTGATACAGTGACAGTCCAATTACCCTGCCCATACATGGTGGCTGTCCAATTACCCTGTCCATACACAGTGGCTGTCCAATTACCTTACCCATACATAGTGACTGTCCAATTACCCTGTCCATACACAGTGACTGTCCAATTACCCTGCCCAAACATAGTGGCTGTCCAACTACCCTGTCCATAAACAGAGACTGTCCAATTACCTTGCCCATAGACAGTGATTGTCCAATTATCCTGCTCATACACAGTGACTGTCCAATTACCCTGCCCAAACATAGTGACTGTCAAATTACCCTGTTGATACAGTGACTGTCCAATAACGCTGTCCATACACAGTGGCTGTCCAATTACCTTACCCATACATAGTGACTGTCCAATTACCCTGTCCATACACAGTGAATGTCCAATCACCCTGCCCAAACATAGTGGCTGTCCAATTACCCTGTCCATACACAGTGACTGTCCAATTACCCTGTCCATACAGAGTGACTGTCCAATTACCCTGACCAAACATAGTGGCTGTCCAATTACCCTGTCCATACACAGTGGCTGTCCAATTACCTTACTAATACATAGTGACTGTCCAATTACCCTGTCGATACACAGTGACTGTCCAATTACCCTGCCCATACACAGTGACTGTCCAATTACCCTGCCCATACATAGTGACTGCCCAATTACCCTGCCCATACACAGTGACTGTCCAATTACCCTGTCCATACACAGTGACTGTCCAATTACCCTGCCCAAACATAGTGGCTGTCCAATTACCCTGTCCACACACAGTGACTGTCCAATTATCCTGTCCATACACAGTGACTGTCCAATTACCCTGCCCAAACATAGTGGCTGTCCAATTACCCTGTCCATACACAGTGACTGTCCAATTACCCTGCCCATGCATAGTGACTGTCAAATTACCCTGTCGATACAGTGACTGTCCAATTACCCTGCCCACACACAGTGACTTTCCAATTACCCTGCCCATACACAGTGACTGTCCAATTACCCTACCCATACATTGTGACTG